TAGTAAAAATAAAATTGGCGAGAAAAAAGCAAGAACCTTAATTTATAATGAAATTGAAAATCAACTCTGTATTCTTCATAAAAAATGATCACAAGGTTTGAACTTACAAGTTCCAAATATATCACGAGATACCTTGTGCAAAAAAACTCAAAAAGCTGTAAAAATTTATAAGTTATTCGAAAAGATAGGTTTAGATAAAATTAAACATATTAAGAACTATAGTGTAAATTCTATCTCGGAACTTACTAACGATCAAATTCAAGAGATTATTAATCATAGTTTATAGAGCCAAATCTCTAATTCTCCTTCGTTTGAAATCACACCTGAAGTATCTTCTGAAGATAATATAATTGAAATTTCTGGGACGGCCCGTCTCGAAAAGGCTTTATTAAAAACTGAGATATCTGCATCACGACCCAAGAAAGATTTACCAAAAGCAGAGGTAAATGTGTCATTCAAATCTCAAACTGAATCAAAGACCTTACCTGAAAAACAGAATAATCTGATCCATAACCATGCTATTTTCCACGATAAAGCATTGGAACAATATCCTGATCTATATTATGAATTCAATAGTGAAAATGTTGATTATTACGGAATTACTGGTGAGATATTATGTCCTTTATGCAAGTTAGATCATGATGATGAGGAAGACATAGAAGGTAAATATGAAACTGGATCATACTATATTAAATGTGAACAGCGCGAAATTCAAATTACTCTATAGATCCCGCAATTTATTACTCTTATTGTCGGTGAAGTGTATATAGTATTGCAGTTAACGTACATTTAGAGGCGCATTAAAAAAACTCGTCAACTATACATATCTGAATACGAACTTGTGAGTGGTCAGGAAATAATATTTTTTAGGATGTGATATTCAATGCGAGAAATTAAATTGCTTTGAAATTATATAAATGACAACATGGATTCACAAGCAAAGTCTGATAAGGTACTAACCCCTGAATATCTGGATTGGTATTCCAAATTAACTGATTTGCCAACCACTATATCTGTTAAACTTCATTCCAAGTTGTATAAAATATACAAGAAAAAAACTGGGCTTGATCCTTGGATAAAGTCTGAAAATCTGGAACCCCCACAAATCGAAAAGACTGATAATTATATCTTACAGGACAGTTCGCTGGAAATCCAGGTAAGGGTTCAGCAAATAAATGTTCCGCATATATCATCTAAATGACAATTCCCAATTTCTATTCTACCAAACAATCCTGAAGAAAGGCAACAAAACGTTATTAAAATGGTATTAGAGCGATTATCTTATTTAACTCTGAAACATAGCTTTAAAAATAATTACTTTGATTTTAATAGATTAGTACCCTGCTCTTTATGCAATAAAAACTATAAAAAAGAAAATATAAGAAATTATATTGAGAGTATTTGGGGTAGTGGTGAATATTGTGGCGAAAAAACTTATCATCTTTATTGCTATACAAATAAATGTCAGAATTCAATCCAAATAGTAACAGTGAAAGCATAGACTACTGATTTCGAATATTAAGGTGTTAATAGCAAAATCAATTTTTTCGGATAATTGTTACATATTATTTATCAGGCATATAATAAAGTATTAAGTCACATCAGGGAATTATAGTATACTAATATCTGAAATAGATCCCACATGCCTGAAATAGATTTCATGCGTCAAAAATAGATCATACAGTGCATGAGCAATTTATACATAAATATCGCCACAATTAAATTCTTTAGAATCAACTCTTTGGGTCTACAATTCTCACTACAGTCCAATATATATCTCTCCCATTCTCATCATATATATCACTCTCAAAATATGACAAATATACATAACTTATCCAATAACCGAATCTGCACTAAAAATGAATCTGGTTTTAATTATATATATCGTACCAAATCTAATAGGTCTAGTCACGAAGTGACTACTTTCAGCAAATCCCTAAATTCAATATAAATCACATATAACTTCTATAAATATTACAAATAGGTTATATAAGATAAATGGTTAGCTTAAGTGAAAAACGTGAAACCAATTGTACCGATGCTGAATGGGATGAATATGTAGAGATGCCTCAAGTTCATACTAATGAAATTCCTAGCGAGTGGATGGATCGAATTTGGTCTTGTTTACAATATTTCAGGAAGAATGATCTATTACCCACTGAAAGTAAAAAATATCTTGAAGCTAGAAAAGAAATAAAATATTGGAGTGAAGTTAATGAATTTTGGATAAGTTATTCACCTGAAATTGGAATTGCTATCTGCTTCTCATGTAATCAATTGGTATATACCGGAAAACGAATCAAAAATATTGAAAATTATAATCACATAGGAATGAAAAGACATTGGGCTTCTCATTGTACAGGAAATGCATATTGTAAAGTAAATTATGATGAGTACTTACTGAAAATCGAACAAAAATCTATTTCAGGATATATTTATGATAATGAGTATGTATTACACAGTTATGAGTTATGGAAATACAATGCGATTAAAAGACTTAAACGTGCAAGGAAAGTTGGAAGAAAGATTCAAGCTATAAATATCATATCTCAAAAATGGTTGGAGTATATATATAAACCCGATGGTCTCTGCGCTTCAGAATTAGCGTTACATTATCAATTACTATGGACAGTTCAAGAAGAAATGCGACAAGTTAACAAGGTATAATACACATATCTACTTATTATATAACTTATTCATATATATCTCGCCTTCTCGCAGTAATTGCTCAAAATCAGATATTAAGGTTATCTTTCCTAAAAAAAAGTTGGTAACATTTTTATTTTGATTTTTTCATATCAACCTGTTTTATGGAATCCAAAAATCCCTAGTGTTGATAATAGATCACTTGTTATTATTACACATATACTTAAATTTCACATCAGTTGGAGACAATCAGCTTCTTAATAGAAGTGATTAATAAGATGTATACTATATTGTTGTATTAATAAATAATGGAAAAAATAATTATTTGAATGTCAAACCTTGGTTTATTCATCTAATTTCAGGGATGTATCCCAACCAAGCTGTACGCTTAAAGAAATATCGATGGTTTTAGTAAAATCAAAGACTACAAAATTTTGATCCCGTAAATATTTATCAATTATCTTGGATGCTTTTTTCGGATCATCTGTGTATTGACATACGATTCTACTAATATCATCTCTACTTCCTGAGCCCCAAAATAGGCATAAATGTGAGATATTTTCACAAATAATTTTAGGTGTTTGTGTATATTTCTGGCTCACGTATATAGGTGAGACATTTTAATACCGGTCACTAATGAAGTAAGAAATAATTCGTTCTTGCACTTTTTTGGGTTCAGCACATAGATCCTCAAAAACAATAACTGTATTTCGTTCCGGAGAGAATTTAGTTATATCTGGAATCTTACCTGGTAATATCCATTTAAATGTAACATCTTCTCGATATGGTTTTGGAGCATTTGCAAAGATCTGATAGCTATTTTGTACAAGTCGCCATTTTGGTTCAAAATGTTTGGCTACTAATCTGAGATCATCATTTTTAATATACCGTTCACCTTTTTTTCCATTGAACATGCATTATAGTTTGTCATCAAGCATGAAATTTATTTTCATGTTAGTTTTTCCGCTATTTGAGCTTCCATTTATAAGCATCCTAAATGGGCAGTCTGGCAAATACTTATTACCCTTCATTCATTCTGATGACTTTTTAGATGTTTCATTGATATTATATACATATATGGGCATGCCTTTATCTTTCATCTTATTCAAACTAAGTAGTACTAATCTATTATATCGAAAAAAATATTAATTAATCGAACCAGATAAGCATTTAAAGTTTTACTTTTATTCTATAAG